ATTTGAAATAATTAAATGTGCATAAACTATCCAAAATTTTAATACTGGACAAAAGATTTTATAGTTTTGCTTAAGGAAGTAGAGTACTCAGTTAATGAATGGGGATCAGCTGTTCACGATTAGTGCTGGTTACGGACACACAATGAAAGGAGACCACCAAAAAGATGACTCACAAGGAACTCAATTTAATACTGCTGTAAATAACATTTTTGGGGGTTACATTTCCTCCTTGAACATAATAATCACTAAATTTACCAAAATATGAACTCATAACTGTACCTTGTTTACTTTTATAAAATAGCAGTCAAGCATATCGAATATTGAAGTCAATCCATAAGTGTAAAACTATAGTGGTGTAATTATCCCAACTTGTCCTGGACAAAGTCTCAAACCTCACCGATGTCTGCAGTTAATTTCCATGTCTCACTTTTTTCAATATTTGAGATTAAATATTGAAGAAATGTTGACAGTCATTAACAGTCTGGTGACAGCAGTATGGGGAGGACTGTCAACCCAACATGGGACGAGCATCGAATTAAGGATTCATGTCCAAGTCCAATTAATAATGGGGCGCCATAAAGGAGACACTTTTAGCCATTGTATCATCTTCTTGCTCTAACCACTGAGCAGGTCTGGGATAATGTGAAAATGTCGCTATCACATGGGAAAAAAATTGGATTTAGGATCCTTCAGTTGATGTCGAATAGTGCCAGTTCTGGTCCAGATCCGATAGCATTGTGCCACCAGAATAATGCTTAATTGAATGTGGGGATCGGCATTATGAAAGCCATGCCGGAAATTAAGAAAAATTCCGAAAAAATTCTTGTCATCAATTTTTCAAACTACTTTAACAGAACGCCATTTGGACAGGAATGAATGACAGTAAAAATGGAGGAATGTTTGAGTCGTGAAGCATCATGAATTATGGGTTTCTGCTTGAGTGTGTTGGATAAACAAAACAATGAATGATTTGACTCATAAAAGTGAAGAAATTCAGAGACAATTTGATTAATTCTAATTTAAATTGATTTAAGTTTGAAATTTAGTCAATAATTCCCAATAGGTCTTAAAAGATAAAAAAATACATCTTGTTTTTATTCTCACTAGACAAATATTGTGCATATTTCTACATGTATGGTTGACTAAATTGTTAAAAGATAGAGCAATTGTGGATAAATTGTTTAAATGAATCACCTGAAAACAATTACAACTGGTGTAGCGAAACATGCCATATGATCTTTCTCTCCTATTAACAATAAACTCTTTGATGAATATCTAGCACACATATCATATAATGCAACTCATAATTGAAGAAAAGAAAGGAAGGAAAGAAAGAAGAAATATTAGAACATGAATTATCTTTTGAAAAAAAATAAAACCTATAATACATTAAAACTAAAACTACATGCACACCATTGTTTGAATCATCCGTCTCTCAATTGTCTTTTCATTATTTATTGACTGCATTATTTATGTTAACAACCAGCTTTAGTATATAAGTGCATATATGCATTGAAATCATTACCACACGTCCACTGTGTCGTATATCAACAAACCTTGATTGACAGTTATACACACAATGTTAAACGTATAGTCAAAACAATATGATCGCCTCTAATTACCAGCACCAGTCAACCAGGAAGTGTTTATGAGGATTGTATGACAGTTAAATAATGGATGACAGCTTCACTCCATCAGAGAGACCGACAACAACTGGTCGCGACATGATGTTCATGTCAACACTGACCATAGTCTAACAACCCTGGGATTCATTTCCCAGAGCCGGTTCAACACACAGGTGGAACGTAACACTATCAATAATTTATTGATTCCCACCTTCTCCACTAATGATGTGTTATGACAGCTGGTTTGGATAGGTATTCCAGTAAATATTTGACAAATGCTCGAACATGGGTATAGTAGTCCCAATCAATGGTTCTCTGATACTTGTGTCCTGACAAAACAGTCGATGGCGTCTAATGTGCTATGAAAATGATGATAATAACATTCTATGCAAAGAGATTGTTGTGTCACAGTGATTTCATGAAACGATAGTGAGTTTTAGTTTTACAGGTTTTCTTTAGCAATATTCCAGATATATCACATCGTGGGACACCAGAAATGGGCTTCACATACTGTACCCATGTGGGGAATTGAACCCAGACCTTCAGTATGACGGGCAAATGCTTTAACCACTAGGCTACCCCACTGCACAAACAGATTGTCAGAATCCTTCTATTTCCCATGGTAAACCGAGGGTAAGACAAGAATTTTCACATGAGTTTCACTAAATCATTTTGACACACATTAAATAATTTCCTTATTACCTATTTCTTAATCTTTTCAAGGTCTCCTTTAAAAAATGCACTAATCACAACAAGTGCCTAATAAAACCACAACTGTCAAATCATGAAAAGAGTCTTCAGTTTAGACTAACATCTAGTCTCTGAAATGAACATATTTTATAGAAAAAAAAGTTCATAACAAATAATCATAAAATATGATGAAAAGGAGCCCAAAGGCTTTCTTTATTTTCATAAACTGGAAATCTAGACTTGCATGTTTTTTTTCTTGAATATATTTGTTTCAGGGTCTGTATGACAGTGAGTGAGTGAGTGACTGAGTAAATATGGTTCACCCCGCTTTTAGCAATATTCCAGCAACATCACTAGAAATGGGCTTCAAGGCATTGTACCCTGTGGGGAATCGAACCCAGGTTTGGGGGAAATGAGCAAACGCTTTTTCCACAAGGCTACTCCACCGCACCTTCAGTAAGCCAGACTATCTTCAGTTATGACATCTATTCTAGTGTGATGTCATTCAGATGTTACATCACAGTTGGAATCATGACATCAACAATGCTGTCTGTGTAACAATACACTGGTACAAGTGAAGTGATATTTGCCCTAGCGAAATGCAATATGCATGAAGTCAACTATTTCAAACCCTATGGGTAATAAATAACGAAACTGCTGTAGGATAGCAGCGCGCTAATAACATAAAAATATCCATGAACAAAAGGAAAGAGAGAATCCCAAACATAACTACTTCCTAATGCATTGTAAATGTTAAAACAATGAAATACCCACTGAACACATATTGTCAACACCCAAATTGATCAATTACACTTAATTGTCTCCCAACGCTTGCTCTATATTCACCCCATAAAAGGACAAGAAGAAGCTTGAAATGTTGTTAAAAATACAAAAGATCTTGTTTCACACCAAAAATATTCCATGTTTATGTTGATCCAACTCTGCCTCTAAAAGAGTAAATCAATTATCAGTGTATGTCAGTCTGTATGATAATTGAGGATGTTTCAGTCAAAAAACCCAAATTGGGTATTACACATAACATATTATTTTGGTACCAGAAAAATGGTTAAAGGCACAGACTATAGATATAATAATCCAATAAAACGTACAATATTGGCATCAAGATAGATCTGATAAGCCAGTCTTTACAACCATCTCGGCAGCTGGTGCCCTTGCCTCAAGGCCATATTGAATGATGGATCCATGGATCCATGGTAATTCTGTCCTTACAATAGGCAAGTCTAAATAAGCAGCCTTCATAGGACACCAGTCTTTTAAAAGGACGATTTGTTGTTAATATTTATACAATCTAGAAATTATGATATAAACTAATAATTATAGCGTTAGACACTTGTGGAAGTCTACAGATGCTGATGATTGGAGAGTCTATTACTGAAAGCTTAGTTCCTGGTGACTGAAGCAAGGAGGGTCCTTCACCACATCATAAACCCTGATGCTGTATAGAAAGTAATACTGCCATAAACTGGGGTCAGGTTTCAATGCATTAATCATGATCAAATTACAGATAACAGCCAATGACAGTGTGGTCATGTGTCTATGCAAAACGCAATCCATGACAAACTTCCTCGACATAATCGATTAATGTGGATTTCTTCCAGACCGAAACTTGATACTAGTAAAGCCAAGCCACAATACTCCATCACCAGTGCTAGGATGGTCTTCAATGAACTCTTCTTGAAGGTCTTGTCTCAAGTTTATCCCTTTCAAAATGAACCAAGTAAAATTTACAGCTTTTGTGTTCTGCACAGACAACTAATGCCCATTGGTCAGTCGAGGTTAACTCATGTCCAGTGGCTATTAATTACTAGCTAATCAAGTTGATAGCTGTCAAGACCAGCTCCGAAATTATTCATCAGTGGTGGAGGCAATATGTTACAATCGAAGCAATAACAGCATAGAATCCTCAATGTGAATAAACAGAGCTGTGGAAGGGATTCCATTGTCACGAATGAAAGGCTTAATTTCCTTGTGTCATCATTGATGTTTGGAGTATGAATAAGAAGCCATTTTGTTTGCTGCAATGAATGGATACACAGGGCGAAAATATGAATCAACACATTTCTATCTTTCAAGGAGGAACAATTAGATAAAATTCAGATTTAAACAAATTGAAAAATCAATATATAACATCAATATGAGGATTCTAACTAAATGTTGAAAGTATACTACTCAAATAAAGTTAAAGAACCCCTGATTCTGATGGCAGAACTAATTAACCACAGTCATGTGTAGGATCAGTGTTCCTTAACTTCTGAGTACTAAATATAACTCAGTGCCAGTGTGCTGATCCAGAAGTGATTATTGAATGCCCCAGCAGAGACAGTGACAATTGGACACATTGACAAATGAAGTATTTGAAAGTTTATGCACGAGAACTAAAATTCCTGTCCTCTACTTCTGACTATCCTGAAAAAGCACCCCCCATGAGAAACGTACATCACCAAGCAAGCTCGGAGTGTGGCCAGTTTTGGTGAATACAAATTGCAAATTTTGCTTCAGTTTCAGTATTATCAATTTAAAAAACCCTAGTATGTTTGACAGTTTGACATATTTATTCAATTGAAAAACTCCCGTTTCGGCAACCAATCTGTTATGTGTTTGTAAATCAACATAACGCCACAGGACTGACCGGCACTGGAAGTATTTTTGTAAATTGCAACTTACCAGATTTGCACTTAATCTTCCTGTGTTGTCATGTTCATAACCTACAAACTGCTTTGTCTGCAAAAAAAGGAAAAAAAAGCATGTGTCACTAGAATTTCACAGCAATTTGTCAATGTTTCATATTTCTTTGGAACAGCACAATGTGCTGAAAGGTGTTTCTTTCATATCTATTATATACAATACAGACAAGCGGGGTGATATTGTTTCTGACAAATCTGTGGACGCGTTGAAATGATTGAACTCTTTGCATATTCCGGAAGGTGAGAAATGTGGAGGAGAATTTCAGTGTAAGGCTTCTTAGTGGTTGTTCTACCAGTTTGAATGTTAATTTTTATCTAGTCTGAAGTGTTGGTGGGCTACAAGTATTCTCCTTAAATTGAAATCACAGGTCTAAAGGCTTTAACGAGAGGTACCTCTTCAGGGTATGCCTACTATTGTAATGGTGTGATCCTACTGCCATATATAGTTAAACTACTGCAGTATAGAGAATGGGGGAACTATTACTATACAGACAGTGGTACATCTATTTCAATATTGACAGTAGTACAACTCTAGCAATATGGAGAGTGGTAGAAGTATTTCAAGATGGACATTAGTACAACTCTAGCAATATAGAAGTACAAGTTTTAATATAGACAGTCGTACAACTGTTTCAAGACAGAGTGTGGTACAACTATTTCATTAGAGATGGTTGGGCAATTATTTCAATACAGATCGACATTAGTACAGCTCTAGCAATATAGACAGTGGTACAACTATTGCAATGCACACAACAACAACAATAACAACAATAGTATCATGTTTCTTTCTGTGGATACAATCAGGAGTGAAGAGCAACATCATTGTCAGTATTTCTATCACCAGTCATCACTGCATGACTATCAGGCCATGGTCATGTGTGATGTACTGAAAGTTCTATCATATAGTTAACTCGAATTTTAATGTCAAAGGACTACAGATAATTGGTTAATGAAGTTTATTTCTTTGGTAAAATCTACAATCACCGCTCCAATCAGAATAACAGTTAGTATTAATCTGGGTTTTCAATCCTATTAGCAGATCCTGATGCAAAGGGACACAACTCTGCATACAACATGACGCTTCAAGGAACAGGTCATGAGCTGTAACTATCATGTCTACCACTCCCATGCTTGTGACGCCACTAATCAAATCTGTTTAACAGTCACCTCAATCCTTTGTGTGAAAAATACAAAAAACATAATAGAAGTTTAATGAATATAACCCATGAAACGTAGGCAAACCATATATGAAATGGTAGAAGTTGACCGATTTTTAGTCAAATACAGGATGTTGATAGCCAGACCAAGGATCATACTTGCTATAAATCCAGATTCAAACCCAGAAACAGCACATCTGACACCGAAGGGACACAACACACCTGAGACCACAGAGTCATCAAGCCACCTGGGTCCCCTTGAAAAACCCAGAATCAATAACTATGACCTAGGCTGTGAATGAGACACATGGATTTGACACTACTTTTGATGAAGTTGCAGCATTGTCACAGTCCAGGGATATCAAGAATAGGTCATCAAGATCATTCCATCACTACGGACACTTTATCCTTTCTAATGTGACTCACCATGATTTACGAGCAATAAGATACTATCCGGATCCCAGTGACCAGACCATCTATGAGAACCACATGCACATTGTACGTTGAGACTAATACGGACAGTGATAGCAACAGATAACTTGCATAGAAAATATCACTTAACAGGGTCCATGTAGTCACCTTCCATTATCTGCTCCAGAAGAAACTAAGATCATGGAGTCTGGATGCCCAGTGCTAAAATGTGGCTTCTGACATTAACGTCCTGCATGGAAACAATACAGGAGACAATCCTGGGAAGAAGCTGCCCGGTCGGCCGTGAATGTCTTGTGCGAGGAGCTGGCCCAACTCCCTTCATGATCCGTAATATAATTGAACCAATCTGAGGTGCGGAGCTGACAATAAGGGCTGTTTTATGGCAAATGTGTTGTGCAGGACTGACGTCATTCTAAACATAAACCAATTGGACTTTATGGTATGGCAAAGAGGAAGCATGACACAGGTCTGGTTCTTGTGTGGACAGCTGATGAAGCATTGGTCCTGGAATAGCGAGGAATGGAGGACAGTTATTGTGGCTTTTCATACAACTCATTTACCCGAAAGTGAAATTTTTGTAAATTTCCAATTTTGAAAGCAAACTTTAATGTTTGTGTGAGGAAATTAAAGACATTCTTTGATCTTTGCTATGGATTCCAACACTTCTCATTACGGAAGAATAACCATCAAAATGAAGAGGCCGGGTGGAGTGTTTGGCAAACAATTTCTCATGTAGAAATTAATCAGCATCAGCACATATACATACAAATATACCAACAAGTGTATTGCCATGAGATGTATTCACAGTGACAGGACTTGTCATCATCAATGTCATTTATACCTCATATGTGAGGCAATTTGTGACTGTTGGCAACATTTGCAGCCTTGCTGTTAAGGAAATAATATTGAATCTATTGACATTCAGATTTATACATAAATCATAAACATGACTGAAATCATGTTCGAAAATGTTTTGCCTTCAAAACACACTAAACTTTTCATGGGATATTTCAAGCAGAATTCAATTCTTTAATACTGCCAAATAATTGATAAGTACAAGATATTTTCCACATTTTTTGTCCAAAAAAACCCCTAAAGCAATCATTTCACCCTGGCACAAACTGTTTCAGGAAAAATCCAGTTGACATCATTCATAATATCTTCAGCCATGATGTGATTCTTTGACATTTTGATATAATTTATGTTGGTTGTTCTAACATTTCAGACCACGATCAACAAATAACAAAGACACAGATATCCTCTGTGATCAATTGTAGTCCCGGTGATCCAATGACTTCATGGGTTACGTGTCATGCCCGATGGAAACTGACTCATCACAGGTAGCAGAAAAAACCACAACATTAACATGGCCTTCATATCAGTTCCTTATGTTGAAAGTCTATCATAACTTCCAACCCCCAAAATACACCGAAATCACTTCTTCAAAATGCTTTACTAATCATTGTAAAGGGAGGTAACTTGTTGTCACTGCCTGCCTCTAATCTGTACCTCACACAAAGTGGGTGGACAACTGCTGCCCAATCTGTCAGGCCTCATATGTCTTGGTCCCAGCGGTATATATATATGCTCCCTGTCAAGGGACTGGAACCAGGGAATCAATACATCGCCATACTGTGTCAGGAAGCGAGGGCCCTCAAACCTACCATGAAATTGTGCCAGAGAAAATCTATACCTTGGTCAGACAAAGACAGGGCTCATTCCAGCAGGTGTTTTAGGGGATGTTTGGGGAATATTTCACTGTTAGGTGTTATAATACTGCTATAAACTGCTAAATCTTGCCACTTGAGATCGGGTCCTTTCTTAGATCTTGTTCCCTGACTGTGAACAATTTGGTTATGGTGTAGAACATCCCCATAGAGAACTAACATACAGCAGGAGATTGAGGTCCATGCAGTTGGTTTATACCTTGTACAAACAAATGAAGATACCACCATAAGTTATAGGGTCATGTCTGGAACAGGCAAAATAATGGGCAGTAGTTCTAGTGAGTGAGTTGTAGTTTTACGCCGCCTTTAGCAATATTCCGATCCAGCAATATCATGATGGGGGACACCAGAAATGGGCTTCACACATTTTGCCCATGTGGGGAATCAAACACGGGCCTTCAGCGTGATGGGTGAACGCCTTAACCACTAGGCTACCCTACTGCCCTCACCCAGATAGCATTCGGACGTTGACCCAACGTTGGCAATGTTGGCAAAAGCATTGCCAACATTGGGCCAACGTCTGAATGCTATCTGGGCAGTAGTTCATAATATAATGATGAGAATGTTTGTGGGAATATTTACTGCACTAGTATGCCCACAGCATTACATCATCGTAACTCCAGTCAAAGGTTCAGTGCACTCTCAAATGTCATTCTCAACTCCCTGGGAATCATACAAAGTAATAAGCAATAACACATGTGGAAACCCAGTCACACAATCCTCATGACAAACTGACAGTTTATAAGCATAGTCCCAAGTGGAACAGGTCTCACCAGTAAGTGAGCACAGGATCCTTCATTTCTTTTGGTTTAATCCTGTCCTCACCAATGTTCAGAAATATTCTCCTGATCCATTGAGCTGCTTTATATGTCTAGCATAGGTTGCTGAGGGCCTTTTCTTACCAGGAACAATTGATGCTCATGCTGTTGTTCACTGGAATATTGCTGAGTGTGACGTAAAAGTAAAGCCACACCACCCACCCACCCAGTCACTCACTCTTACCAGGACTCTCTTCAGAGGATGTGTGTTTACCATTTACATGAAAACAACTGTTTTGTAAAGATTAAATGTCTACAGCCTGATTTCCCTGCCCATTAATCTGTCACACCAAAACTGAAAATCTGCTAAGCATAAACCCATCACAGTCTCTTAGAAGTAAAACTTCATGTCTTTCCTTCCTGACATATTTTGTACATAGCCCCACAAGATCCACTCATCCTTGTCTAACAGAGTCAAGCCTAAACACATTAACTCTACACATGTCTTATCTTGTAGAGCAATTTCAGGCCATTTTGTCAGAAACGGTGTGAATTTTCAGAAAATGTGTCATGTACATAAATCTTGATTGCCACTTAAATGAATGTAAATCACTTCTGACCTAGAATCAATCAGATCAATATGGCAAAACGTCATTGTTGTCCACATCAATTTATGCAAGTCCAGCATGGGGCTCACTATAATTTGATTTGTATGTTCCCTGACGCTAACAGAATGTTTACAAACATTAAAAAATGGTACAAATTAAGCGATCTACCAAATCTCGTACCCGCGACACAGTTATCAGCTTATTGTAAATTGATCGTTGCTGTTGCAGTGGCAAGCGACTCTCGACCAGTCCTACACCACTTAAAGGATCAAACACTTCGCTGTGAGAGTAACAGGGAAAACCCATTGCATTTTCCCTCTACATCACTCGTATACTCTCTACCTCTGCATACTCA